TTATACATAGTGCGTGGTCCGACGACTGCTGCTGAATCTCGCATGGATCTCTACTCTTTCTCCGTCCCTGATTGGCCGCCCGTAAGCTGTGACCACTACAGGTCTCTCCGCCTCCGCGTGCCCGCAGTGGGGCCCGGTCACGGGTGCGAGCGCTGCGCGCTCTTCCCTTCTCATATCTCATCTCTTCTTATCTTGTCAGTTTTTATTGGCCTTATTGGCCTGGCCTGCTCGCACATCCACGCGTCTCCACATTAATGCATTTATATATTGACGCATTCGTGCATGATTGCTGGCTGCTCACTCTCTCTCTCTCTCTCTTTTTTTTTTTCTTTCTCTCTCTTATGTTTTGCTCTTTCTTCTGATCTCTGACTGACCTCTTTTAAATATACTCTTTCAAATATTGGACAAACAAGCCAACTTTGATGAGAGATTTACTGTGAGAATGGATCTCTTTATTTATAATAGGTCCCACCGCCTGTGGATCTGCCGCCCATGTGGATTTGCTGTTGCTGTTGCAAATGTCCTCACCCACCTGGCTAAGCGGCACCGCAACCATCCCTCGGCCGCGACGGCAGGTCTCCGGGAGGCCGCAGTGGCTGCGATGATGCAGGACCAGCTGGAGCCGGTGTTTGACCGCACTCAGGAACCCTGTTGCCCACCGCCTCCCGAGAGTGCTCCAGTCCGAGCCGGTGGTGTACTACCTCTGGCTGATTCTACCTTTCGCGCGGGCGGTCCAGCGGCTTGCATATGGAGACAGTGATAGCCAAGGGGGGCTGCGGTCACCATTTCTCTGGCCGCGGGGGCATGGACCGTGGGACAGCAGCCGGCTGCGGGTGGTGCTTCAGCGCGAGGCAAAGACACACCTCCAGACCAAGCTCAATGTAATCACTTGGCGGCATGCCGCCATTGCCATCTCGCGTATGCACCTGTCCTGTGGAGGGTTCAAGCGGGAATATGGGGCAGATGATGCGGCAGTAGACCAGCAGGCAGGCCATGGATCCTGGGCTGCAGGTACAGTATATGCGCGGGGGCTGCAGGAGGCACCAGGCCACATTGAGGAACGGCGTGTGCGGTACCAGGCTGTCAGCCGGGAGTGGCATGAATTCCTGGGGTTTAACCCGGGGGTGCGAAAGCGGGCACGGAACATGGAAAAGAGCGTTAGCAGAAAAGCTCAAAAACAGCAGCCATCATATGTAACAGTAGAAATAGATGACAACATAGAGCTATAAATGATTAAAGATATATATTTTTCTCATGCAATCATGAATTCCTGGGGTTTAACCCAGGCCCAGGGGTGCGAAAGCGGGCACGGAACATGGAAAAGAGCGTTAGCAGAAAGGCTCAAAAACAGCAGCCATCATATGTAACAGTAGAAATAGATGACAACATAGAGCTATAAATGATTAAAGATATATATTTTTCTCATGCAATTCATTATGACCAGATTTCCAACTTCAGCAGCTAGCTGTCATCTTTATAAATTTCAATACAAATCAGCCTTTCACCTCCGTTATAAAATGTATAATATTATATTTTCATAGACAACTCATCACAACCAGACCTTAAACTTCAGTAGCCAGTTATATTATATATACAGAGTATGATATTTAATTTCAAGACATAATTTCATCAGAAAATCATATTATTACAACATTAAAGTAGATAAGTTGTTTTGCAGAGTTATGAATATTAAATATATATATTTCGCCCCAGGGCAACTACCATCATCAAAACGGTCACAGATCAGCGAAATAACAATCAGACAGAAATTAACATCATACATTTAAGTATTGATCTGCAATTGCTTAGAAGCATTACAAAACTTAAATTTAGAGCAAATTATCATTGTCGAGTGAAGTGTGTTTATACTTCATTTTCAAAGAATATATATATATATATATATATATCAACTCAAGAATACACTGACTTCATTAAGATGGAACATCAATTTTTCATTCAGTGTGAATCATACCCCATCATCATATGCCGTCAATGCAAGTATGCAGTATGGCCAACAGAAATCGAACGGCATTTGAAGGGTTCAACTCATCAGTTAGAGTATACAGCCACACAGAGTATCAAGCAGATAATTCAACGGTGGGATCATATCGCGCATGATCTCGGCCGGTTGATATTGTCCACGGAATTGAACAAACCAATACATGAGCTGCTCATCCACAAGGGCTACATGTGTTGGCGGCAATCTGAATGTCAGTATGTTGGAGGAACTATACGGACCATGTACAAGCACTATCCAACAGGTGGGGGTGGACTGATCGTCCATTCCATTCAGGGTTAGAAAACCGACCAATCAG